AATGAGTTGGTAAACAAGAGACGATGGCAACTCCACGTTGTGGTAGATTTACACACTACTACAGTTCGACTAATGTTTACAAATACCACGGTCAGTCACATGAAACCCCCCAAATCCAAAGGAATTTTTAAATGCATTGGGGACCACAAGACGAACAATTGTGCATACTCCACGTTATGACACAGCGTGAAAATGGCAATTTAAAGGGGAACTAAATAGAGCCTATTTTGGTGTTTGTATTTATCAAGTTATGTATATTGATTATAAATTTGAAAAAAAAAATAAAAAAAAATGATTATCTTCAGAGTTATGATGATTTAAATATGAGAAACCATAAACCTGCGAAGGACTTTCGTTTGCGCCATCTTGCCATAAAAAAATGCCCTCATGAGGTATAAACAAGTAAGGTAACAAAGCATGATGACGAAATAGTATCTGATTAAATATAAGCAACTTAGGGAGCCATAGCTGGCTGGACTGGTGAATTGACTTCTAGTCTAGGTTGTTTCGACTTTTACGTTAATGTTATTTACAAGCATATCAACATACAAACATCATGAATGTGCGATTGATCGAAACAGGCATTTTGTTTTGTTTTTTGTCTAACTGTCTAATAAATGCTGTTTCCAGTACTGCACTGTATGGATGTATGGATGTATGGATGCTGGAGTATGCAATCTTGAGTTCGTAGGGTGGTGGTGGAAATATTTTCGTCCATGTATTCACGGGGCTGCACTGGCAAATCATGGGACAAGTGTCACAGGAACACCAAGCAGATTGTTCACAGACTTCCGTGTAATTTGAAATAAAACTTTCATCCGAACAAGGGGCATCGTCGACGATATACTCTCATCACTCACACTGGACTGATCTGAATCGTCACAGTATACCGTACTTCCCTGATCATAAGCCCGGAGGCATGAACACGTAAAGGAAAAGTAAGGGATGAGCTTGTACTCGAGGACCAACTCAGAAAAAAAAAATGATTTTGTTTTGGGGTTAAACACTGTAACCATCTTGCAAACAACGAAAAATTATCCCAAACAAATATTCGTTCACCACGCCGGGCTCGGGAAAATAATACTTATTTTTGAAAAAAAAATGCGTCAGTGATTTGAACGATACTTACAATGAAGAAACAAACATGTTCATAAAAACCACACACATTTTATTACAATACGATTTACATACCGTCTGAATTTACGGTGAAATAATGGGTAGGGTCGGTGAGGAAACAGTGGACGAAGGCATTTATCATTATCTTCGTTTTGGTATGTTTTCGATCGTACGCAAACTCTCGACGCAAAACAATTTTCCACCATGAGGTTTTTCAGCACGATTTGACCTGGAACAACTTCCTTTGACATAACAGGTCATGTCTTTCATTAACCAATCAAAATGATGTGCCGTAATGATGAAATTTTCCGATTATTGACGATGATTTTTTAGCGCAATGCGGAAGTGAATTACCGCAATGTTAAAATGCGATGATTTTTTCCCCTAAAAACTGGCGATTCGCAATTTCCGAAATATAAACGACGGTTAATAGTAACCGTAAGTGTGGAGGAAGAATTTAAACACCTTTCTCGGTCGCCAACATGTCTCATCGTTCAAACCCTAGGCCTTTCATGATAGTCTCAAAGTAAACCATGCCCAATAACCAGGTACACGCCTTGATGATTACATTTTTGACTTTTCGAAAGCTA